GGGGCTGGCTCTGGGTGGAGGCGGGGCCGGCGCTGGGTGGAGGCGGGACCGACGCTGGGTGGAGGCGGGGCCGGCCCTGCTGCAGCGGTAGCGGTGATGAACCCAGGTAGCACGGGTCCTGCAGCGCATGCATCAGACCGGCCTAGCAGGAAATGTCCCGGTCCTCCTAATTAGCCACTGGAGGTTGTTGAGGAGGGGAGTCTGAGGCACATGATGGAGGTCGGGCTGCACATCCACCGTCACACATCACTTCCCAACTGGGTCACAGCCTGCGTCTGATGTGTGTGGGTGTGTGTGTGGGGGGGGGGGACACTGTTTGACCCCTGCACAGACATGATGTTGGTGATCCTGTGATCGAAGCAGAAGCCTCAGGCTGCTGTGGGTCATCGTCCTGTTCTGACCTTTGTTGTCTCTGAGGGACTAAATGGTTCCTGCTCCCTGGGCTAATCCTGTCTGGATAAATATTTTAAAAAGTAGTCCCTCACTTCCTGACGACCCTTCTGTCGTAACCTTTGACCTTTAACCTGATGACTGAGGCCTGCAGAGTCTCAGATGGAGCACTCTGAACATTGCGTGGTCTGACCTTTAGGGTGAATCTGCTGGGCAGACTGTCAGCCATCTTAAATGTTTTTCTGTAGGACGATGAAGTCCAAATGACCTTTGACCCTGCCCAGATTGGGCCTGCTTCCCTGAGGTCATTGCTGATGCTTTTCTGCCTTGGCGTTGTTAAGACACACACCTGGACGTTGTTAACACACACACCTGTTTGCTCCAGATCAGTGCTGCTTTTCTAGAATTAGTCCATTTGATGATCAGTTTATTGACGTGATCAGTTTATTGACGTGATCAGTTTATTGATATGATCAGCCTCTCCTGGGGGCCTCTGGAACAACGTCACAGCTGCTAAATGAAACTTTAGACTTGAAGGAGTTGGTCCCAGCGGTTCACTGGGACTTTGTGGTTTAAATCTCAGCTGTCTAAAACCCCGTGCATGAGTCTAAAACCCCGCGCACGTGTCTAAAACCCCGTGCACGTGTCTAAAACCCCGTGCACGTGTCTAAAACCCCGTGCACGTGTCTCTGCACAGGTTCAAGCTGTTCCCCAGCTGCGTTCCCGCCTTCGGTTTCCGGCACATCCTCTCCCTGACGGACAAAGTGGACCGCTTTAACGAGGAGGTGCAGAAGCAGATGGTGTCTCGGAACCGGGACGCTCCGGAGGGCGGGTTCGACGCCATCCTGCAGGCTGCAGTGTGTCAGGTGACAAACTCTCATCTTGGGTACGTTTGAGATGTCTGCGTGTGATTGAAGGCCATCCTGCTGCAACAAGCAGCTGCTCCGTTCACTGCTTAATGAAAAGCTCC